TTTGTCAAATATCAGGTGTTCTAAGATGTGTGGATTGATATCCATGTCTCCTATTCGGTTCCATTGATGTTCGCATCTGTTCTTATGCCAATACCAGGCTGTTTTCAGTACTGTAGCTCTGTAGTAGAGTCTGAAGTCAGGGATTGTGATACCTCCAGAAGTTATTTTATTGTACAGAATTGTTTTGGCTATCCTGTTTTCTTTTGCTTTTCCATATGAAGTTGAGTACCATTTTTTTGAGGTCTGTGAATAATTTTGCTGGGATTTTGATGGGCATTGTGTTGAATATGTAGATTGTTTTTGGTAAGATTGCCATTTTTACTATGTTAATTTTACCTACCCAAGAGCATGGAATATCTTTACACTTTCTGGTGTCTTCTTCAATTTTTTTCTTTAAAGACTTAAAGTTCTTGTCATACAAGTCTTCTACTTGTTTGGTTAGAGTTAGTCCGAGAAATTTTATGCTATTTGTGGCTATTGTGAAGGGTGATGTTTCTCTGATTTCTTTCCCACCCTTTTTATTATCTGTGTACAGGAGGGCTACTGATTTTTTTGAGTTAATCTCGTATCCTGCTACATTGCTGAAAGTGTTGATGAGTTGTAGAAGTTCCTTGGTAGAATTTTCGGGAATCGCTTATGTAAACTATCATATTATGAGCAAATAGTGAGAGTTTGACTTCTTTTCTGATTTTGTACCTCTTGATCTCCTTTGGTGTCTTCTTGCTCTAGCTAGGACATCAAGAACTATATTAAATAGATAGGGAGAGAGTGGACAACCTTGTCTTGTTCCTCATTTCAGTGGGATCACTGGGAGTTTCTTTCCATTTAGTTTGATGTTGGTTGTTGGCTTGCAATATATTGCCTTTATTATGCTTAGGCATGTTCCTTGTATCCCTGCTCTCTCCAAGACCTTTATCATGAAGGGATGTTGTATTTTGTCAACAGCTTTTTTGGCATCTAATGAAATGATCATGTGGTTCCTTCTGTTTCTACTGTGTGGAATAATTTGAGCAGTACTGGTATTAGTTCTTCTTTGAAAATCTTATAGAATTCTGAGCAGGAGCCATCTGGTCCTGGGCTTTTTTTGGTTTGGAGACTTTTGATGACTGTATTTCTTCAGGCATTATAGGTCTGTTTAATTTGCTTATCTGGTCTTTATTTAATTTTGGCACTGAGAAGAAGGTGCATTCTTTTGTGTTTGGATGGAATATTCTATAGTTGTCTGCTAAGTCTATTTGAGACATAACATCTGTTAGTTCTCTTATTTCTCTGTTTTTTTTGTCTGACTGACCTGTCCACTGGTGAGAGTGGAGCATTGAAGTCTCCCACTATTAGTGAGTGTGGTTTAATGTATGATCTAGGCTTTAGTGTTCTTTTACATATGAGGGTATCCTTGTATTTGGGGCATAGATGTTTGGTATTGAGTTTTCCTCTTGATGAATTTTTCCTGTGACTAATAGGAAATGTCCTTCTTTGTTTATTTTGATTGATTTTAGTTTGAAGTCTTGTTAGATATTAGGATAGTTACACTGCTTGTTTCTTACGTCCATTTGATTGGAATATTTTTTTCCAACCCTTTAATTTGAGACAATGTCTGTCTTTGAGGTTGAGATGTGTTTCTTGTATGCAGAAAAAGGATGGATTCTGTTTTCGTATCTAATCTTTTGATCTGTGCCTCTTTATAGGTGAGTTGAGTCCATTTATATTAAGGGATATTAATGACCAGTGATTGCTATATCCTGTTAATTTAGCTTTCATTGTTGGTGATGTTCATTTGTGTGTTTTCCCCTTCTTTGGGATTTGCTGCTATGAGACCATCAATTGTCTGTGTTTTTGTTGGTGAAGCCAACTTCCTTGGGTTGAAGTTTTCTTTCTAGTATTTTGTGTAGGGCTGGGTTTGTGATTAGGTATTGGCTAAATCTGGTTTTGTTATGGAATATCTTGTTTTGTCCTTCTATGGTGACTGAAAGTTTTGCTGGGTATAGTAGTCTGGACTGGCATCTGTCGTCTCTTAATGTCTGCATAACGCTTGATCACAACCTTTGGCTTTCATTGTCTCCAATGAGAAGTCAGGTATAATTCTGATAGGTCTGCCTTTATATATTGCTTGGCTCTTTTCCTTTGCAGCTCTTAATATTCTTTCTTTGCTCTATATGTTTAGTGTTTTGATTATTAAGTGGAGAGGGGACTTTTTTTTGGATCCAGTCTATCTAGTGTTCTGTAAGCGTCTTGTATAAGCTTCATAGGCATATCTTTCTTTAGGTTGGGAAGGTTTTCTTCTATGATTTTGTTAATTTTCTGTGCTTTTGAATTGAATTTCTTCTCCTTCTTCTATACTTATTATTCTTAGGTTTGGTCTTTTCATGGTGTTCCATATTTCTTGGATATTTTGGGTTAAGCTTTTGTTAATTTTTTTTGATTGATGAGTATATTTCCTCTATTGTCTCTTCAATGTTTGAGATTCTCTCTTCCATCTCTTGTATTCTGCTGTTTACGCTTGTGTTTGTGGTTCCTGATTGTTTTCTCATGATTTTTGTTTCTATAATTCCCTCAGCTTGTGTTCTCTTTATTGTCTCTATTTCAGTTTTCAAGTCTTGAATAGTTTCTTTCATATGTTTGATTGCTTTTTCTTGGTTTACTTTAAGGAATTTGCTGATGTCTTCCAATTTTCTGTTTGTCTTTTTCCCCATTTCTTTGACAGAATTTCTCATTTCCTCTCTAAGAGTTTCAAACATTCTCATGAAGTTATTTTTTAGGTCATTTTCTTGTGCTTCATCTATATTTGGCAGTTCAGGTCTTGCTGTTGTAGGGTTTTTAGGTTTTACTGGTGTTGTGTTGCTCTTTGTGGTGTTGCATGTGTTCTTACCTTTTCTATTCATCTTTTCCCTAATTGGTGTGGCTGGAGCTGTCTGAGATTCTGTTGATTAATTTTCTAGATGCCAATAAATCCAAAGCCCAGATGGTTATTCACTGTTGTACAGTCAGTGCCACAGTTCTAGTTACCCTGTTGGTCACTCTGTTTTCCTGGAGATTTCTCAGTGCTCCTGGGCTTTGTTCCACTCCTTTGGAGTTTGCTGTCTCAGGCCTACTTTGGCCTAGGTTACTGGCTTTGACCTGTTTCTGTAAATTCAGGTCTGGATCCCCTCCTGCAGAGGTCCTTGGTTCTGAGTTGGTCCTACAATGGTCTCTGGTTCTGGTCTATTCCCTTGGAGTTCCCAGGCTCTGGCGTGCCCAGAACTGCAGAGGACCTAGCTCAGGCCTATTTCCTCAGAGGTCCTAGACTCATGCCTAGACCCACCGGGGTTCTGGCTTAGGTCTACTCCCTTGAAGGTCCCAGATTCATGACCGGACCCTCAGCAGTCTCTGGCTCTGGCTCACTCGCTCAGCAGTTACTCCCCTGTACCTGTTAAGGTGGAGTTTGTTGTCTCAGGTCTGCTCTGGACCATGTCGCTGGCTCAGTCCTGGGACTGGATTGGCTTCTGGCTCCCATGGAGCTTGCGTTCTCGGTTCAGTCCCACTCCTCCCCATATGCACTTTTAAGATACTCAAGTACCAAGTGTAGAAAGGGTCTGGAAGAAGAGGAGCCACACTGCTAGGCTGCTGTTGTAGTGTGACAGGCTTCAGCCTCTTTGTCGATCATCTACCAGGAGCTTTTGTCATTGTTTCTTTGTCACCTTTTCCCCAATAAAGGCTTGAAAAGAGAAGTTAGAGTAGGCTATGGCCCAGCCAGTTGCCTCATGTGGTAATACATACCAGTCAGTCACTTATACTGGCATCTTTCCACATCTTGAGACAGTGGAAAGATGTTATTGCTCACCTGAAGTTAACATGGTTTAGGCTATCTAAGTGACAGCTACATTGGTCACTTGTTATAGACTCTCAGCCTTATAGACCTAAGAGACAGCTTGCTGGGCTCTGAAGTTAGGAGGTCATATCCAGGGCAGACTCCAAGGATGGGTTACACACAGAGAGACTGGTGGTGGGAGAAGGCCTTGGTCAACATCCCTGCTTTCCCATCAGAGATGTGTGTGTGTGTGTGTGTGTGTGTGTGTGTGTGAGAGAGAGAGAGAGAGAGAGAGAGAGAGAGAGAGAGAGAGAGAGAGAGAGACAGAGAGAGAGAGAGAGAGAGAGAGACAGAGAGAGAGAGAGAGAGAGAGAGAGAGAGAGAGAGAGACAGAGAGAAAGAAAGAGAGAGAGAGAGAGAGAGAGAGAGAGAGAGAGAGAGAGAGAGAGAGAGAGAGAGAGAGAGAGAGAGAGAGAGAGAGAGAGAGAGAGAGAGAGAGAGAGAGAGAGAGAAGGTTTGGGAGAGAGAGAGAGAGAGAAAGATGGAGAGAGACAGACACTTGGTTGTGCTGATGATTTCCCATGTGACCCTAGAGCAGCACACTACAAATGGGCTAAGAACAAGTGATAACATCCACAACAGAGGTTTCGGCAAGTACCATGTAACTACTGCAGTCATACAAAATGCTTCAGCAGACCAATTTGAGTATTAATCCCAGGACCTTCACAAATTGAGTAACCTCAGAAGACCCCCAGATGTGGCACATTTATGACTCATATGTAATCAGAACATTAATTAGGTCATTTCTAGTTCTGAGGTCCTACAGGTATGGTTTTATAACTACAGAAAGCATCATCAGTTAGCATTGTGTGACTGACTGTAGCAGACTGATTTCAGAAGCTCATCCTATGGGTCTGAGGGATGCAGCTCTCTATAAAGACACTGTGGCAGTCAGGAGGTGAAAGATACATTTGTTTTCCACTGATCTGAATTCCTACTCTGCTTACTCGTGGTTTAATCTTGGGACATTTTACTTCATGTGCTTGTTTCTTCATCAGGACAATGTGGGTAGTGACAATACTTCTACCGCAGTGGTTTTTGTGAGAAGTAAATGAGAAGATTCATTTAACAAGAGCTTAATATGTGCCTAGTACACAGTAGTGCCACCGTCACTTCTCTGATTGTCATTACTTCAAGACTAACATAGCTCACTTACCAAGATGCATGTCCATGACCTTGGCACAGTACTTGCACATAGCATCTAGGTCATTCAGCTGTCCTTGGAGGAAGGAAATCTGGGCTTCCAATTCCTCTTCCTTAAAAAAAAGAAATAAAGATTAAAAAAAAAACTACTAAGTACTACATATGATCCTACATTGTCTGTTTTGTTTTGAAATGTGGCCTTACTTTGTAGCCCTTGATATCAAGGACCTCTCTATGTAGGCCAGTCTGGCCTTAACACTACCTGCCTCTCCCAAACTTAGGAAGTTTGAGGATTAAAGGCCTGTGTCACCACACCCAGCCTCCTTATATAGACAAAACTTAAGGGGGGGTGGGAAACAGATAAAAGAAAGGCCACTACTACCATCACCAAGAAAAACAGTAGAACAGAGACAACCCCCTCAAAAAAAAAAACCCAAGTATTCCTAATCAAATTCTTGCTCTGGCTAACTGTAAACATACAAACTTTGCATAAAAGTACAGAAATATATTTTTATTTCATATATTTTTTTTATCATATTTCCTCTCCCCTAGCTTCTTCTGGCTCCTTTCCACCTCCCTACTCACCAGTTTTATGTTCTCTCTGCTTCTCTTTCAAAAGACACAAAAATTAAAAACAAAAGAAGCAAACAACAACAACAACAACCAAAACCCAATAAATCACAAATGCTAAACCAAGATGAAATAGAAAGTCTACAACAGCACAAAACACACAGTTCATTTTGTGTTGGCCATCTAATATCTTTCAAAATATTAAGCAATAAAAATTAAAAAAATGAAACTGAGTTTGACTAGCTCATACTTTGTAGGCAATTCCATTTTTCTTCATCTGAGAAACCTGTTTATACCAGAAACCTCATTATTGTCTAGACAATGAAAATGTCTTACAATGTGAGTTTTCTCAGCAGCTGGTAAGCAGCTAGTCTTCTTATATTTCCTCCCTTGACAAAGAGCTGGGGTATTTTGTTTCTAGAGATGGGTCCTTAAACTACACAAACAACAAGGACACAAAGATTAAAGTCTTTTTAAGGAAACATGATGTGGGATGTCCTTTTGTATTATGTGTTGCTTTTATTGGTTAATGAATAAAGAATCTGCTTGGACCTATTACAGGCAGAATAGAGCAAGGTGGGAATTCTAAGCAGAGCTAGAGGAGAAAGTAGGTGGAGTCAGGAGAGAAGCTGTGTAGCCTCTGAAGGAAAAAGACATGAGCCGCCAGCCAGAACCTTACTGTAAACCACGAGCCTTGTGGTAAAATACAAAATAATAAAAATGGGTTAATTTAAGATGTAAGAGTTAGCTAGAAATATGCATAAGCTACTGGCCAAGCAGTGTTATAATTAACACAGTTTCTGTGTGATTATTTCAGGTCTGGGCAGCTGGAAAACAAATGAGCAGTCTCTGTCTACAACTGTAAAATGTTTCCTAGAGAAATCTGTAAGATTCTGTGAGTTTTTCTCTCAGAGAAAGGGAATAATTTTTGTAATTTGGGCTATTTTAGCCAGGATAGCTATAACAGAAAAGAAAGGATGTTGCCAGGGCTGGCCCAGGTGAGAAAATGGATTTTCCAGTCTTAGATGCTTTTCTTTTTATATAAAATTCCTCTGTTCCATTAACAAAATGGAAAGAGAAAGCAACTGAGGCATTTCTTTTACTTTTTGAAAGTGAGTAATTATAATCTGACTGGTAGGTAGGGTGGAAATGAAGGGTTGAAAAGGTCTCCTGTAGGTGTACTGCATTTGGAAGACATGTAAACGCACTGAAAAGCACTGATTTCAACTGCAAGCTCTTAGCAACATGCATTGGAATGTTTGACACAAAGTCAGACATGGCAGTGCTCAAAAAGTGAACCATGGAATATCTACTGTAGAATTATACAAGCACTTCCCATGTTCATTATGTATCCTACCAAGTTCCACAGCTCCTCCTGCTCCTAATCTAGGACAAATGGGACCAGAAGCTCAACTGAAGGATGCTAATGGAAGACATTACCTATCCGGTTCCACTGGGCATCGAGGTGAAAAAAGGATGGTCTATCTCAGGCCTCTTTTCTCTTTCCCTTTCTTTGTCTCTTTTCACAGACCTGAACCTGTTCTGTAAGATTACTACAGACATTAAAGAAGGAAGGCTGTGTGTGTCTTGCTCTGTGATAGTTGTAGTCAGTGTGTACAGATGGCACCACATACCTTGTCTCTCTTAGTGTGCTGTGGCCTCACTTCTAAGTTTGCAAGAATCACTTTTTAGCTTTTGCATCTGTATGGCCTCACTAGCCTTGATACAGAGACTACAGAAAGTCAAACTATGTCAAGTTGGGAAGTTTAAGAAGCCTGGCAAATTCTGCCTTACCTAAAGGAGGCTCATGATGGCTGTTCAGGCTAGAGCATCCAAAAGAGACTCATGGACAAGTAAAATCCACAAGAGAAAAATCGAGACCCTGGGCATGTTAAAATGTTTTTCTGGAGTCTTTTAGTCCATCACAGCTGTTGCCAGGTCAGTGAGAGACTCAGGTTATACTACTACATGCAGCAGCAAATACAGCCTAATGGGCACTGTTCAAGTCCCCACCCACACAAAGAGAAAAAGGGAGCCCTATGGTGCTCTATTTTGGATCTGTTCCTTATGCCTTGAGAGGTGGCTGAATGTGGGAGAGTGGTTAAGAGAGAAACTCACATACGACACCAAGAAACTATTCCTGTCTTGTCACTGACCTTAAACTATCTCCCTTTCCTGGTCTGGTGGAAAGTCAGTCCTCTGGAGGATGTAAACTCAAACTTTGCTCTCAAGGCACTTAACAACTGTTAATGAGCTGGAACGCGCAAGTGGATCATACGGTAGAGTGCACAAGTCTTATAATGAAACAAGAAACATTGCCTGGGAATCTTGGCCCTTCCACTCAGTCATCTTTTAGTTACATACACAAACCCAACCAGAATATAAATCTGGACCAAACCTAGAGTTTGGTTGTGGCTAGTAGTTAGGGTGCTAACAGCCCAGGCTATACAAAAAACACTAGAAAAGAGAAGCTTCCTGGCATAAAACCATCTCTGTGTACTCTAGGCAGTATTTTAATTGAGTAACAACCATGCTAGTTAAAATGCAAACACCCCTGGGAGCTTTGGTCCCCAGTAGACACTCTTATTTACAGAGCTTTCTGAGCTTCGGAGGACACAGTGCAGAGGAGATGGGCGTGGCCTTCTGGCTGGAGACACTGCCAGCTGGGAAGTGTCTGCAGCTCAGAGGACCACTTTCTCCACAGTCTGTTGCTCTGCAGGGTTAGATGCTGTCACTATGTGGGCAGTGCAGGGTTTGCACCTGCAAGGGGCTGCCCTTGGTACTTGGCTGTCAAATTCAGAAGGAGAAAAAACCCACAAATTTCTTTGTTTTCATTTTCATGCCTACTGAATCTCAATACAGACAGAATCTGTCTCCACACAAACACTGTGCAAGAGTGCACATTCATTCATTCAAACTTTCATTTTCCAGGGAAAGCTTAATGAGATCAAAGAGGTCGGCTCTGGTTGAAGCAGGTGCAAAGGGTCAAGAATCTCTTATATTTGGTAGTCTGAAGTGCAGTTTGCCATTCCTATTGAGGCTGCAGAATCTGAAAAACATTCTTAAATCCTCCAGCTATCACTCAGGGTTTATAAATAGAAATGGGATCACGTGGAAACAAAGGGAGGCTTCCATTTATTCTTCATCATATTATATAATTGCAATTCTAAAACTGCCAGAACCTCCTCTAAATGTCTGTCTTAGTGTCTAGGGCTGTGCACCCTTCAGTCAGCAACACTCTCCAGAATGACAGCGTCGCTCACTTGCTTTCATCACACTGCCCTCTGTAATACAGAACAAATGCTTGCCTAATCACCCTGACATTGTAGGAAAACTGCTTAATGATCCTGAAAAGAAAGTATTATTGTGTTTACCCTGGCATGGATGTTCTACTTTCTACATAGGAAGGAGTATGGTGGGGTCATGATGAAATCCTGGAGAAGACAATCCTGGGTTCAGAACCCATTATTGCCAGTACCTTTGTATAATTTCTTTAGTTTCTTTATCTGCTAGAAATAGACTTCTTCCTTGGGTTCTATGTCCTCCCCAGCAAACATCTGAGCTCCCTTCAACAAAGACTCATCACCTGGATGGAGTCCTAACTTCTAGATGCTCACGAAACTATTTCCTTCCAAAGCTATCCAGCAATGTTTGGAATTTTAGAATACTTCAGATTCCAACACCTGGAAGGATGAGGCAGGAAGATTGCAAGAGTTCAAGGTCAGTTTGGGCTATCTAGTGAGACTATTTAAAAGAAAAAGGCATTTCTATAGGGTCATTACATTTGTTAGGTATTATGTAACTTGGTTGTTTATATAAAGTATATCTTTCATATATTACTTTTATAAATGCTTCAATATCCTTTAATATTTCTTACTTATTTTAGCAGTACAAGGTTTTGTAGTTTATTAATTATTCACTTTTTATCACCTTGTTTAATAAATACATTCATTTACTTTATGTTAAATTTTGTGGGAAATGCAGTAACAGGTGAGATGTTGGTCCTGGTGTCTACTGAGTTTAGAGAAGACCTGGTCTGCATGTTCTTAAGGTCAAGAAAGGAGCAGATGATGCCCCTGAAAGCTTTGGGGATGACTGTGAAGTGCTCTCCACAGGCCAGCAGAGAGGAGACATCTGGAGCAGATGTGGGGATGAAAGCATGCTTTCTAGATGACATCATTCTAAGGGTATTCAAAGAGAAGGACTCTGAATGAAATGACGGAAAAGCATGTTTCAGGAAGCAAGGGTCCAGTCACAAGGTGGTACATGTGTGTGTGTGTGTGTGTGTGTGTGTGTGTGTGTGTGTGTGCAGGAGAGTATAAGGTGAGCAAAGGAACCAATAATGAAGTGAAGTCAGAGCACTGGGAGGAGCAAGAGTTACAGACGGGCAGGAAGCCTTCTCTTTTCTTCTTCCCAGTGATATATTAGGACTTGGGTCTGATCGTGCTAAAGATCATTCACACGGGAGCAATGTCTGTCAGTCCTGAGGCAAAGTGGGACAGGAAGGGCCCTGGGGTGGAGTTCTGCCCAGCTTCTAAGCGTG